AACGCCTGCCCCGCAGCGTGGAGGGTGTGAACTCTATCAAGGGGAGTAAATCACGTGGATTTTTTAATGTCTACGTTAAAGGGAAAATAAAATATTTACAAGCAATTTCAGCCCCAGGCTTCTAGCCTGTATCACCAAAATGAACATCACTTCTTTTGCCTAAACCCTGCTGATTCTGTTGAGACAAAACAATCTTTGTCCAAAATACAGAATTTTACCCCAAAATGTGTTTGCTGAAAATGGGGAACTGCCCCAACTTTCTTAACCTCTTGCTCTGTGTACAAACAGCAAGGAATGCATCAGTAAGCTAACCTGGCGGGGGGGATACGATGAAAACTTTGCTACGGCTGAGGTTTGCTCAGCACACAGTAACCCAGTCCGGAGCAGCGGTGGATCACACTGGCACCGCTTTGCAACCGGGACCTGCGCACGGGACCCGTGCACGCCTCCAAAAACCGGAGGGATCTTCCCCCAGCATCCCTTGGCTTCTCCCAGCCTGCACCCAACACCCACGGTTAAGTTGCTCGCCGGGTGTTGGGTTTAGAAACGTGGTTTGTACCCTCTAGCTGTACGCTCAAGCTTCAGGGACACGTTAAACCATCTCTGTGAGCGTCTCTGCACGTGGGGTAAGAAAGAAGACGAGAGGGAGCATGTTAGAGCCCAAGAGCCATCCACATGGAATTCAGGCAGAATTTCCCCAAATATTCAGGCAGTACCAGCCAAGGCAATTCAGACCCGGGGCTCCATCCAGCTTTCAGCTGCAAAGGACAGAGCATGGGTATATTTCCTCCGGGGGTAAAGCAGAGAAGTCTCCTACTCCTGTGACATGCAAAGGATACACAGAGGGACTGCACATGGAGGAAGGAGAACAAGTTCCTCTAAAATGGGCACGTGCTCTTGACCGTAAAGGCCGGACATAGCTGACAAGTTGGTTTTAAAAGTGGTAAAATAAAAAAAGAAAAAAAAGAGAAGTGTAGTGACTCAAACTGAGCACAGCGATGTGCTGGATGTTGTGGCTTCGAGAGATGTTTTGATACAGGAGAGCATGGTCCAAGGAAAACAAAACCTCCCAAATTAATCCCTGCAAAAGGCCCAAAATTAAAGAAAGCAGAATTAATTCAGCTGTTTTCCAGGGCTTTCAGGAAATCAATGAAGGTGGATCAGTTTTTCAATCAGCACCCTGTGTGCTTTACCCCACAGAGGAAATCTACGGTGTGAGGTCAGCTGGCACGGTCACGCTCATTTTGGACGGCCGCTGATCCCTGCCTGCCAGCTTCGCGGCGGGGGTGATTTTGCAGCTTTTCTTTTGTAACCTGGTATAAAGGCTCCTTTATCAACACAGGCCGCAACGTATCGAGCAGCCACAGAACCGCGCTCGAAACTCCAGCCTCGCGTCTGCTACGCCGAGCGCTGGGGCAGACACGTCTAGAAGACACGGAGGCATCGTCAGAGGCAGGAAAACAATCCTCCGCTCCAGGATATACGGCCAGGTGAGCGTGCCTGCATACGCCAGGAGTTGGGGAAAGCTTTGCACGTGGTCTTACGGATGAGACACGCAACCTCCCACCTTGGGGGATCTTTTCCTCTCCTTTCTGCCTCTACTGAATTCCATCAAGATGCGGTGGTTGCTCGTTAAAGAAATGAACCAGGGAGCATGCAGCAAGCTTCAGGTGGCAGCAATGCAGAGAGAAAAACAAAATGTTGTAACAGACGAGTATGTCCCACCTTCCCAGTCTCTGCTGGGCATGGTCTGCATTGCTGGAAAGACATCTCCAAAATCATAATCTACAAAAACGAGGGATAAAACTCAGGATTAGAAATACAAGTAGTGGGGAGGGAGGGGGGACAGGGGAGAGTGTGAAGGGGATTTGGGGAGGGAGATGGGAAAGGAGAAAACAAAACAATCTTCCTCCGGTATCTGAAACGCGTGAGAAAATCATCAGGGAACATGGATGCAAATGGAAACCAGCTGCACTAATGGTTGCTCCTGCTGGATGTTTGCGTTATGGGAGCTACAACGGGACCAGAGAAGGATGAAGGCCCCATTACGTGAGCTGCTGGAAAGTTAAAACAGAAAAACGGTTGGTGTCATCCAGGGCTTGTGTACCTAATCAGGGATCCCCTCTCGGAAGCAATTTAATTGCTCCGTGCCTCAGTTTCCCCACTTTACATTTACCTCCCATAGACACTGTGATGTTTGACTCACTAATGTTTGCAAAGCCAGGGGTCTGATTAAAGGGAAAAAATTTATCCTCTGATCCTAAAATCCCCAGCTCCACCTACACTCCCAGGGTAGCGAGATGCTCCTGTTGAAATGATGAGCAGTGAAATAAGTTATTGAAGTTCAATTCCTCCACGCCGGAGGAACAGCGGCAATGCCTGCCCTCCAGGGCTCTGACACCTCCACCATCCTGGTCCCACAACAGGGCGCGGCATTTCTACATCAGCACCAAACCCCTCTACACATGGGGAAACTGAGACACAGATCACAACCGCTGCCCGGACACACAGAATAGCTTGTGACAATGCTAAAACCGAAATCTAGCTCAAAAATCTCCTGGATCTCTACTCCAAACCCCTCTTCTCTTGAGCATTAAGCTTCCATCCACTAGACGGGCTGGAGAGTGTAGCCAAACCTAAGTGACACCCCGTGCCCAGTCAACACGGACAGGCAGGAGAAGTGCTGGCACCAAGACATGTTCTGCTGAGGGAGGAACAGGAACACAAGCCCAGGGGGTGCAGCATGCACTGAAACGGCTGCTTACGCCAAACCTCCGGGGACAGAGGAGCTTCCTCCTGTGACTTTTACTGCTAGGCTCCTCGTGCTGTCTCCAACTTACCTGGATGCTGGAGGTTTGGCATAAGCAAGTCCCCGAAAGCAAACCCTTTCACGCTCACACGCAGATGTTGTGGGTGAGCCCAAAACAGTGCTGTGCTTCAAAGCCCTTTGCTAAAACGATGCTAACGCCCATCCCCACATCTGCATCTTGCTTCCTGGGCTGTTCCTTCTCAGCATCTTTAATATTAGTCTGCAGTTTCTATCTTGCACATAAAAGGCAACTGGTGGACCCCCGTCTCGGAGGGAACCTGTCCGTATGCGGACTCAGTCCTGAATTCACTGCATCCAATTAACGGCACGCATCACCCCACCTGCTCCAGAATCCCCCGATCTCGCTTTGTTCAAACTGACATCAAAAAGGAATAGCGCCAACATATTTTGGATTAGGAACAGCAGCAGCAGAGCTGTTCCTTCACGTGAACATGCTTCATGCAGTGTAACAGCTCCCTGCTCCAGCCTGAAGCAGGTTAAGGGGCCTGGCATAAGGTATATGTCTCCTCAGTTCATCTGGAACAACATCCAGTCCTCTCTGATAGCGAAAGGGGGTGAGTATGACAACTTATCAGGCTCCTCAAGTTAAGATGCATAAAGAGGAAAAAACAGCACCTCTGAGACCACTGGCTGCCTTTCCCTCAGACTGCGGACATGGAGAAAAGACTCTGGGAACTATTCCCCACCACCTCCAGTGTATTTGGGTCTCTGGACTGCAAAATAAGCAGTTAAAAAAGGTCCTCTGCAGCCCTGCGTACCTGCTCTGAACTGGAAGCCATGTTCAGATAGACACGATTTTCACTCCATGAGGAGATTTCTCCAGTTCTTACTAAAACACACCCCCCAGGATGGAAACGTGGCCTGAGGTGACTAGCATGGGAAGTCCTTCTCTCCTGCTCTGAGGCAAAGGGGCTGTCCCCAGCTTAAATCCCAGCACCTCCCAAGGCAAGACAGGAGAGACTCACAGCCTAACTGCTGGGTCTCTAGCTTTGGTCTCTTCCAGCCCATCATTTGCTACCTCATTCGGCATCTCGTCCGGTCCAGCAGCTCAGCCGAAGGAGATGTGGGAACACAAAGGCCTGACCGCACCCATCTCCGAAAAACCACTGACCTTCACTGGATGGAGCGATGGCGCTGTCGTCCCATTCCAGGTTGGTGGAGGTGACCGAGTTGAAGGAGTTGAGGGACAGGCTGTCCGAGCCGTGCACGGAGCTGGGCAGGCGGTCCTCAAAGTCTAGCAGGTACTGAGGTTTGTAGTAATCTGGCATGTACGGGGCCAGATCCAGGTAAGGAGCGTCCTGCAGAGAAGAGAGCGTGGGGTAAGTCAGGCTCTAGTCACCACACACAGTTATTAGCATAGTTGAAACGACGGGACTGTCCTTGAATGTCCTCTGACTGTCCATTTCTGCCGCCTTTCAGAGGAAACCCGGCGGCTCCGCTGTGACACCAAGGGTTAGCCAGTGGCTTTGTGTTCATCTGGAGCAACGCCAGCATTTCGTACGGCGCTTGCAGAGCTCAGCTCCTTCATCCCCATCAATCTGCCCCGCAGCTGGCTTCCCCACACCTGCCTCATTCCTCTTCCAAACTGTGCAGAGGAATAACTGAGCAATAGGAATAAATCCCATTGCCGAATCTCCAAAGATCCCAGCCTAGAGCCTTTCCTAAAAGTGGCAGCTTCACGTTTTCAGCTGAAGGCCAACAAGAACTCTACAACTCTCTACAACTACCTGAAAGGAGGTTGTAGCGAGGTGGGGGTCGGTCTCTTCTCCCAAGTAACTGGCGAAAGGACGAGAGGAAACGGCCTGAAGTTGCGCCAGGGGAGGTTTAGATTGGACGTGAGGAAAAATGTCTTTACTGAAAGAGTGGTTAAACATTGGAACAGGCTGCCCAGGGGAGTGGTGGAGTCACCATCCCTGGAAGTATTTAAAAGACGGGTAGATGAGGCGCTTAGGGACATGGTTTAGTGGGCATGGGGGTGTTGGGTTGACGGTTGGACTCGATGATCTTGGAGGTCTCTTCCAACCTTAATGACTCTATGATTCTATGATTCTAAGAAGGTACACCCTGGACCTGTGACACCCAGGACTCCCCCTGCTCCACATACCCACTCTCCCAGAGCCAAGACAAACGGATGAAACACTCACCAGATCCAGGTCAAAGCGGATGAACTCCAGCCCGGACACCAGCGTTAAGAACAAGGTCAGATGATCGTGACTGCAAACCAGGGCGTTCCTGCAGCATGGATAAAACAGAAGAGCTTTAGAGATGTAGGAAAGAGAAGCAACAGCTACAAGCGCCCTTCCGTTTTCTTGGTGGCGTGTCTCCGATCTGCCGCATAAACAGCCTCAGAGCTGTCAGCCTGCCGTTTTCCTCTTCCTAAGAGCAATGGCAGAGCTTAAGGGCAGATATGTGTGGCTCAGAGCAGGCAGGCATCCACTATGTGCTGTCCCCGAACGAGCTACGGGCAGATTTCCAGGCGTCCACCAGAGCTGGGTCCCCCTGGACAAGAGCTCAGCAGCTTCTTGGAAAACATGGAAGAATATAAAGGCTACATCCGCGACTGGGAGTGAAAGCAGTAACTAGGAGAGATGCATGGAAGCCCTCTTATATAGGACAGTGCGTCCACATCCGGGACCTTTACATTAATCATGCAAAACCTCTGCAAAACCCACAAGGAAAGATCAGACCCTGATCAACGCTTGTTCCCCACTGGCAAATTAGGGCTTGCTTCTGACAAGAAGGGATGCCAACCAGTGCCCTAACGAGAACGAGCTGGGATACTCACTTGACATAGTACTTGTGCAGCAGGCTTAGATTCTCCTGGAACAGCCTCAAATAGCTCTCCAAGGAGTTTTCGTTGAGGGCTAGGTACAGCCATGCCCGGCCTGAAAAGAAAGCAGCAGACAGATTTATCTGTGGGGAAACGCCTGAGAAGCGAAGCAAGCCTGGAAATAAACACAAATCAGTTACAACACGTCAGATCGTTCATTCGCATTTGTATCATTTCAGGGGAGCAACTGACCGTTGGGGAAATCTGTGGGGAAAAATGTCAGCGGGAGATGAAGGGGCAGATTCGTGATTCGGAGTGGGAATAAGAATAAGAGACCGCGTGGTAACCAGTTGAGAAGCAGACACACAACTGTGTCTCTCCAGCAAGATGGGAACCCTACTGGCCTTTCCAGGAGGGATCAGGAGACAGGAGAGACGGAGGGAGAATCGCTCTAAATCAGCGCAGGTGCAATTTGAGATATTACACAAATTCTGCAGGTGCAGAGAGGTGACGGTGGAGTCTGCGCTCAGCTCCGCTCTCACCGGTACGGGGCTTTGGAGATGAAGGGTGTTGGGATCATCAGGCAGAGGGGAGGTCTCTGGGCACTGTCCTGCGTCAAAAGCAGCCTCGATGGTCCCAAACATCCTACAGACAACTCGCAGCAGGGGAGAAGCAACATCGGGCAAACGACAGCTACAGCAAGACGTTCTGGGGCGAGAGAGGCGATGCCTCCCATCTGCCAGAAACCCTTCCCCAGAGCACGGCCCAGCAGATCGCTTTGGCTTCACGGCAGCAGAAGCAGGGCTACGTCTCTGACCCAACACCCGATCCTGAGACACGGTGCAATTATTTCTAGAGCTGTCATACGGTTACGGCAGGACTCTCGCCTCCTTGGCCTGAGCAAAGCGACCCGGACTCAGTGGGGAGCTGCCTGCTGGCTCCCTCAATCTGCCTGCAGCTCCAGCCCTCGAACACGCAGCCAGCACAACCTGCCCGGGCCTCCTGCCAGATGTCCCCAAACCGAGGTTTGCCCTCAGAGCCGGGGCAGCTTCTGCGAATACTCACTGCGTCCCAGGTTGGTGGCCACATGTTGAAGCACTTCTATCTGTTTGATGGCTTCCCGGCGGGTGAAGTGAACGACCAGCACCCAGTAGCCCGAGGAAAGATCTTGCAGGCTGGAAGAAGAAAGAAGCCCAGAGGAAGGTTAAGCAAGGGCTTCGTTGTCTCCATCCCAGTTACTGCCCGGATGGCTTCCCCATGCTGAGGCTACATGCTAGGCAAAGCACGGCGAAAAGCATCCCAGCAGCCCAGAGGCAGGCTCCACGCTTACCCATAGAGCAGAGCGTGGTCCAGATGTTCACAGAGCCGCTGCAGGACCTTGTCATGGTTTCTGATGGCCGGCGTCTCGTCTTCACAGGCAGCAAAGTAGCTCTGCAGCTGCAAAAAGATGAGATGGGATGGCTGAAACGCCCTTCTACAGCCCACTGAGGAGGCAGATGGAGATGCCAACACACTCACAGCCAGCATTAAATAGCTTTTTTTAATCTCTCAGCTTGCTAAACCTTGATGCAGGTTACTCACAGGGTATAGCAATTGGTTTTAAGAGTACCCTAAAGGCAGTAACTCATAGGGAGAGCCTCACCCACAAAGATTTGTGCATTTTTCAGAGACATGCCAGCAACGTGGCCGCAGCTGCACAACCAACTTCCCTGTTTGTTGAGCAGGTGGGCTGAGCTGCACAGCCTCCTCCTTTACAGCTAACGCTGCAGCGGGGTTTTGGTGGTTCCTCTGCAGCGATGCAGCCATCGCAAAGCCGTTCAGAACAGAAATAAATCAGGGCTCTGGGCTCTGTTTCTGGCTCTGCCATGGACGACTCCCCTCCTCGGTCTCAGGGTCTTGGCACGGGAAACCCTGGTTGTGGAGAGATGTTGCTTCCAGGTATAAAAGATGCTCTGAGTCCAGGAGCCTCATTCTTGCAGCGCGCGTGCTCTGTGCAAAATCTGTGCGAAATCTCAGCGCAGTTTTGGCATCCCGGGAAGAGACAGAGGTTTTCTTGTTACAGGCGGCTCAAGTGATCGCCGCGATGCTGGGGTATTGATGCCAGGCAGCTGAGAGCTGCCCCAGACTTTCAAACACAGGCTAGTACGGATTGCCTGGCCGCAGAGCAGCGGGGACTCGGAGGGTGCAGAGGGCAGCGCAGATACAGACGAAGGCACATGCGTATGGGACAAAGGCAGCTCAATTAATCCCGAGTCGTTTGCCTCTGCTGGGGCGAGGCTGCATCGCTACGACACATCACGTCACGTAGCTGATGCTTTCTCAAAAATCAGGACAGCTTGACCCATCCTCGGTTAACCCGTTGGCAGCTGCAAAGTTAGGTCTAAGGTCAGCACTGGCCCCGTGCTCTGCTGACAGCAGCCCTGGAGGCTCGACGCAGCGTAAATTGCTTTTCTGCTTCTGTAAAACCACTCAATAGAAATCCTAGAAATCCCCTTACACCCAAATCCTATATCCCTTCCCAGCTGACCCACCGGCCTCCTCCTGCCCCTGGAGCTTACAGATCTATTTAGGTCCCCGTCTCACACATACTTGGCATTCAGGCAGGGAGATTACTCACCCAGGATGTAATCTCAGCTGTATATGCCACGTTTATTTGCTCTGGCTGGTGACAAGTGAGCACAGTTCAGCTGAGCCACGACAACACATCACCCGTACGTACATTATTTTGGTGACCCGATACATCTTTGCCAAACCTCACCAGTTAGACAGTAGATTTAAAAAAAACCAAAAACTTGACGGTATTGTGCCTGTCGAGTCTGACCTGTCCCCAGAAACTGGTTTCTCCTCCTGAATTATTACTAGAGCCAGAGAAGCTCCTTTAGAAAATCATCCAGTCTCGATGTAAAAGTTATCAAGGGGACAGAGAACACTTCATGGCACCTGGGGAACTGTTCACAACAATCCTCTTAAAAACATGACCATATCTAGCTCCAACACCCTCCTGGCTTGAAGACCTTGTGTCTCTCTGGAGCTCTTAGGCAAGACGGGAGAGCCAGGCATGTTCCTGCATGGAGCAGGTCCCAGCCCTTATGTGAGAAAGAACTGCTGAGCCGGAATAATCGCAGCCAAATTCCCTCGTCCGATCGCACAACGCAGTTCAGCCTGTCTTTGTCCCGTCTAGTCCAGGAGGTAAATCTGCTGGGGAAGGAAATAGGCAATAACGTTTTGTTTGCAGGTACCTGTGGGTGCTCCGGCGATGCACAGACCGTTTCACAACACCCAGGTGAGACCCGAAGCATTTCAGCTCAGCAGCTCTTATCTGGTTTTGGGAGGAAGCTGTCCCAGAAGATTTACACTATTAATAGGCAGCCCAGACCCAAGCAGGGAGAAGAATGCCCTAAAATCCCACTATTCAAGAACTATTTCAGGAGCTACCTGCAGCCAGTGTTTTAAGCTCACTCCTGCAGAGAGGACACTAGAGGAAGAAACAAAGTCACAATTTAGAGCCGTATCCCTCTGGCAATGGATAGATGGAGCCACGGGGGATGTTCTCCAAGAGATGTCTGGAGCTCACTAAAATATCCCATTTTGGGGGAAACTGAGGCAGAAAGCAAAGGCCCTGCCATACGGGACATGAGCCAGGATTTGAAGGCAGAAATTCCCGGCTTCTCCCAACCAGGCTGTTACCTCTGCAGAGACCTGGGGTACCCTCAGAGGAGGGTTCCTGTCCTGGGTGTTTCTGCAGGTTCTGTGCTCCCTTGAGGAAATGCAGCTGTGGGAGACAGCTAGGGAAAAACAAAAATAACCAGGCCCTACATTAGCTTACCACTAAAATCAAGGAGCCGCTCAGCCAGCTCTGCACACACAGTTCGGGGAGGTCATCTTGGAGGGAACTTGGAGCCTGTCTGTGCCACTGACTGGAGGAATTCCCCGTGACAGAGAGACTCCAAGCCTGGGCAGCGAAAGAGATGAGCAAATAGAAGCATTTCCTCTTTTTTTCTTTCCTTCCTTCTCCAAAAATAACTTAGATCTTTGTTACAGTCCTTCCTGCAGCCAGTTCACAGCTCCCAACCCTCTCCATTGCTACATGTAACCGACCTGCTCCCATCATCAGAGGATGCAAACCGTTAGCAAACGGTGGTTGTCTCATCTCAACATCTCCACACATGGAGAAGCACCAGGGAATTTCTGAAAAACAGACTTCTCTTCCCTAGAAAAGCCAAATCTTCCCCCATGAAGGGATCTAGGTTTTGAAGAGCTCGTTCTGCGTTACATTAAGGCTTGGTGTTACTTTTAGCTGCTCTGCAAGGAGCATGCAGCCTCCTGCCCTGCACAAACCAGCTACCCCTGCACGGCACCCCCTTCCTGGGGAGGCTGCTGGAAAACCCAGCCCCACAGCGATGTCCAGAGCAGACCTACCCCAAAAGGCTCAGGTCTGCCCCTCTGCAACATCAGGAGCCAGAGGACGAGCTGGCGTGACTGTGCTTCGCTCAGAGTCACGGGGTTACGCCAGCCCTGCGCACGTGGGACCCTGCAAGCTGGAAACGCGTGCTCAGCAGTTTTGGATTTGGATTCAGGCGCTCCGAGTCACAGCATTTTAGGAGCTGTCAGTCACAGGGAAGCGCACCAAGTGCTTGCTCCTACCCACAGGCACAAAGATGTGCCACCGTGTTCCCCGGCTGGTGCCGCATCAAGGAACGGTGCTGCATCAAGGAACGGTGCCATTTCCAGCATCCCTCCAAAATAAACAGGGCCAACGGTTTACAGCTCCGAGCAAAGGATGTGCACGGCTTGCTGGAGCACAACAAGCCCCAGAAAGAGATCAGCAGGAGAGACCAGGTGAATCCCTGCCAAGGTACCACGTTTCCAAGGAGGATACAAGACAGAACAAGCCTTGGGATCTCCTGGGTGGAGTCATCCCTACAGCAAGGGTGGTGAAAGGCTGCGACTTGCAAAAGCTGATGGGGAGGCGTTTTGGGCTTGGGAAGAAGGGTGAAGACACACACAGAGGAAAGGTACAGTGAAACAGCTTTCCCAGTTGGGGAACAAAATCCAGTTGCATCATTGCCCACAGGCCTGCTGGCCTGCTCCAAGATCCACCTTGCCCCAAATCCATAGGAATTAAGACCTCAAGCATCTTGGGGCAGAGGCACAGACCACGGACAGTCCCAGCAGTCACGGACAGACCCTGACTGTGCAGCACAGGCAGGAATGATGTGGCACTGCCCTGAAAAAATGGCATTTATATGGAGTGTTTACTTCTCTCCTGTAAATCGCCATAAAACACAAATGAATAATTTGAAACCAACCTCTCCCTAATCACGGCGTGGCAGACAGACCTGTTTGGGAGGTGGTGACCAAACTTTATGAAGCATCCGCAAAGCAGCTCCCTGACATACCTGGGCAGTGAGCCGGGGAAAATCAGGAAGGATGCAAGCAGTAACGATAAAAAGCATTAACCAAAAGCGACATTGGTCATCTCTGGGTTTTCCGGAGAGACGTTCTTCCCCTCATCTCCTCCGCGCTCCAAAACCAGAAGGAAGGGTTGAAGGCTGGCTCAGACGGAGGCCTCGTATGGGGCACAGCGAACACCTCGAGCCCTGGCCCGGGGTTATTTATAGACATTCCTGCGGCCAAAATAAGCGCCATCGCCATGCAGAAGGCATCCCCGCCGAGACCACTCTGCAGCCCCAACTGGGTCCGAGCACCGGTGTTGCGACAGCGTGAGACAAAACCTGCTTCGGTGAGCTGGTTACAAAAGCCCAAACACTCGAGGCTGGCGAGTTAAACACGCCTGAGAAGAAAGCAGAGCAGAAGGGCGTTTGTCCAAAGGCGACAGAGAGCTGGTTTGCACTGAGGGGAACACTGGGTTTGCGCTCCTAACAACCGCACCTTGTCCCCATTGAGGAGAAGGTAGATTTAATAGCTGTTTATCAATCATGAGTTGAATTTTTTTTTTTTTTCAGTGATACACCACACCCCACTCTGGCACACAGGAGAAAGGATATTCCTTGCACAATTTTATAGCCTACTAATTGCACCCGTTCTCAATGAGTGTGAAGCTCTCCAGGCCTATTTGCAGAGCTCCTGTGTTGCAAGAAATGCCAAAAAACAATCAGGCAGCCACACTGTAAAGTCCATGCTCCGAATCTAATCATTCTTGTGGCTCTCCTTTGAAATCTCTCCAGTATTTCTACAACCTTATTGAAATATTGAAATACAGTCTTCTGACCTGTTCACGGCTGGCCACAACCCAACCGAGTCTCCATCTCCCCTCCGTAAATCTGGCCCACAGATGTTTCACTAGCAGCTTTCCAACACCAAGTTCATTTCCCTTGTTCTGCTTGGTATTTCCTTGACAGGACAAACATAGCGAAAGAAAAGCAAACAGCCCAGTCGGGCACCCTTTGCATTCCTCCGGCTCCCTAACCACGGCG